GGTCCCTTCCGACCCTAGAAACTATGAAACTATGTTCTGGCACCCATGCCAGGGTTGCCCATGTTATATCATGTACACCATATGCACACAGAGTAAAAGGATATGTTTACACCTCTGCCTATCTGCGTGTATTAGGCTTAGATTACTGTAATATTTATACTTCAGTAATTTTGGCAGGTAACATACATGGCCATTTTTTTAGTTTATTGATTTAAATGTTCGCTAACAGGAAATCAAGAAAACATCAGATGCTAATAGTTGTTTACTTAAAATGCAATGACTCTAGAAGCTGAGACTCCCAAGAGATTCATTAATAAAATAATATTTGATAAATGTATCACTCATGTTGTATTATTTGAGTGCCAAGTACAATGAAGAGTAAGAGAAGGCAGCAGTTGTCTAGCAAAGCAAAGCAAGATGTTCCATTAGCTGGAGTAGCAGACACAATCATGATTTATGGACTGTATCCCTGGCCCTTCTAGCAACTCACTGAGTTGTCTGAGAGCTAGTCTACTTCTCTTACCTGTGACTCAGTTTCTCCATCTATAAAATGGGTATGACCTTGGTGAGGGCTTGGCTATGCAGAGACGGAAAGTACTATTATACAGGTGCTATGAATAACAACTGTATTAAAAGCATCACACAATCTCTGTGTTCAACATAAGCCTAAATTACAGAAGTCACTAATGGACGAGAATCTGAACTGCTCTAAATTTTGGGGAGTACAGAGCCCAGATTTTAGTTTAGTCGCACCTTATTTTCCCCCCTCCCAGTGAATCTGGAATGACTGTGCAAAAGGAGAATTCAAAGATAACAAACAGCAAAGGGGTCTGGCACTCAAGTAAAACACAAGAATTGAGCTAGCCTGAACTCAGTGGTGCCACAGCCATGCACTATACCAACCCAAACACTGCAGAGACAACACAACAGAGCTTGAGTCCCATTAAGAAGTCTAAGTACCACCTCAGTACAAACATCTGATAATCACTGCTGTTGTTACTTTTAAATAGCATCCCTTCCTTGCTGCTCTCAATCTTTTTCTTGCTCCTCGGTCAAAAATCTTTTTTTCTCCCACACTCCCTTGATCTTCCTAGACAGGGGTAGACAAAGTTGCCAATTAAGCTGTTCACTCCAATTCAGCAAAATGCTTAAAGTACATGCTTTACTTTTAGGCTTATGACAGAATCCCACTGGATTTGCTGAACATGCCTCAACCTAAGCGCATGCTTACAGAATTGGGGTCAAAATGAGGAGACAGCCCGTGGCATTTAAAAGTGACCAGAAACACCTTTATCTTGGAGTCTGATAAATCCCAACAAGCCACCTACCCTAAACAGCCTCCGTGCTTCAGGTTGGAAGACTGCAGATGTAATTTCTACAGGCTTTATTCAAGGAAGACAAAAGCACATAAGCCACTCAACTTTTTTAAATTAAAGAATAAGCAACTATTGAGCTCCTGATAATTTGTTACATGAAGCCTTGGGCTGGGGCAAAATTGAGGAACCCCTGCACTCAGCTAGGTAAATATCTATAAATAGTTTTCCAGCACCAATATATATTTACCACTATTTTTGTGATTCCAGTCTTCTACAAGCTGTTAATATAATGTCAAGCTATTTTGGCTAGCAGCACCCTCAGCTTCATACTTCCTTGCTTCAGGCATTTTCAGCTGCCAAGGGGATTTTCTCTTCCTTCCTCTCAAACACTCATTAGTCTTCTCCATTATTCTGCCTTGCCCATTTCCTCCATTCGTATGATAAAGGGCCATACTCTTTCTTCACTCAAAACTCCAACCCATGTTTATATGATGCAGTGACCCCAAATATTAGCAACATTAAATGTATTTTTAAAAGAGATGTCAGTAGGAAGAGGATGCAATGCATGTTGGCAAATTCAGACCTTCTCAGACATCATCCATTTAGTGTTCCAGCTACTCCCAATAGGAAATCACTACTGTCTCTAAAGAACAGCAAACAAAACCCAAAAACCTCTTATAGTGCATCCCCTAGGACTGTAGAAGTTCTCAGATCTGCATTTATGTTCAGTGTCTCCTTTCAATTCACTAATAAAAGCCAGAGCAATGGGGTGAAATCAAAGTGTTCCAGGAGGTTCCATAATATTGAGAAATGATATTTCTTTAGCTGCCTCTATCATCCTTTCAGGCATCAGCATGTTGAAACAGCGAGAAAGAGAAGAAGGAAAAAAAAAAAACCAGGAAAAGCTGGAAGGACAAGGGATAAAAAAACCAAAGGCAACTGGCATGTCACTGATATGGGTATATAAAGCTCTTGATCATCCTCCTTTGATGAGCAACACCCAGGACAAGTGAGCGAGTGGTGAGGCAGAACAAAAGTACACTCAGGTTGAGTGGACTTTCATGCTAATGAGGAACCCAACAAAGTGCTTTCCCCTGACATGCAAGTGCTGCATGCAGGCTGCAATGTATAGAAATACCAGTGCAATCAAGGTACAGTAGCCCAACATCAGAAGTTCCTTCCCACTACAGTACAGAGAAATAGGTGGGTAACACCCTAAAGCAAGTCAAGATACCTTTCTCCTTATAGGCTCCTACACACTGGTTCCAAGGGTGGAAACCAGCATCCATTTACCTTTGCTCCCCCAGTCACAACAATATTTCATAGCCATTTGTATCTGAACATGGCTATAGTACGCACCACATTATGGTATGGCCAAAGAGACCTAGCCCTGTCCACTTAGGTGCCAGGGGCGCTTGGAGATGAGGCAGAGCTAAGTAGCTTATCACTGCATAGTAGAGGTTGCAGTGCCATAATCTTGCTGGTATCCGATAGAAACAGATTAAATGGAAAAAAAGAAAAAAGGGGGGAGTGCTTCAAAAAGGGCTTTAGAACTGGGATTTGGAATAAAAGTTCCATGGTGAATAGATCTGGGGCTCAGGCCTATTTATACTACATGACACAAAATAATACTGTGGAACTAAATATGGATATGACATTGGTTAGTGGTAAAATCCCTTCCCCAATGGCCCACTGCCCACATCACGTTTGTGAGGAGTTTTTGGCACTGTATGAAAATACACCACTTTCAACTTGGCTGTTTATTTGGCCACTGGCACTAAAGTCTGCTGCATTGTCCCCCTGTATTTAGATGTTATCTAAATGCTTGTCTGATCCAAGAAACCAAGGACACACAAAATGCATATCCCAGTGAATGCCTATATTGCATTTATACAGGTTTTTTCTCCATGCATTTTAATAGGCCCTTCACCATAGTAACAGTGTATCCAATTATAATATACATTAAAAAGAAACAAAAAAAGGAACACCACCCTCTCTACCTACCACCACTCTGATTTTAGGTTTTTGAGGGAAGTGCTAGGTGGATTAGGGGGTTAGGGCAAAAGATGGCTCACATTTTCAGAGGAAAAAGATGGTTTTGGCTGACATTTAAATGACTATCTTCCTTAAATATGTCTTCCTTTCACAAGAAAGTATAGCAGGAGAAAGTCAGCTGTGAATCTAAGGTGCTATAGCTATTCCCGTGTAACTCCCCATGTGGGAGCTCTTATTCTAGCGCCTTTTTCTAAGTAAATTTATGCTGCTTTGGAAGGGGCTTAAGATAAATTAGGAGAAAAAAAAATGTTTCTCTGATTCTGGAATAAAAGTGTTCCCCTAAGAATGATGTCAGTATAACTGTCCCGCAATACCCACAGAAGCATACTCCCATGGGCAAGCTCTTATAGCAAAATCTGATCCTTTCTAAAGCCCATTGTGACAGAAATGAGCCCCCAAAGAAAGAAGGATAAATGTCAAGGCAATTGTATCAAAAGATACAGCCTGTGGATCCATAATCTGGCCCCAGGTACTTATCCCTGCGCACAGCCAGTCTGGGACACCACCCCACACCCTCATACTAGATCCAGCCCATGGCACCCGGTCTGTATAAATCGGGAACATGAGCCATATGTGGTGCCTGCTGCAGCCAGTACGGAGTGGGCTTTGCATGTGGTGCAGTCCTGGATTGCAAGAACCATATATTTGGACACCTGTTAGTACACATTTTTAAAAGACCACTTCTCAGGAGGGAGGGGAGGTAAGGAGGGGGTTGACTTTTGCTGGTATTTTACCCATTTAGGCCTTAACAAATCAGGGGTCTTGATTCTCTGCAGGCCTGCACCTTCTGTAAAGATATACAGAATCATGCAAAGTCTGAAAGGCAGGGTCCCAAAACATGAACATGGCTATCTCAGTTTGGGAGAGTTTGTCACCGACTTTGCGTAGGGGAAAATAACTGCACAAGGTGTAAGGTATTCTGAATTCAAGCCCAAGAACTGAATGACATGGATATCACACCACAACACATCACATACACAGAGACAGAGCGGAGGAGGAAGAGAGCACAAGAGCCATCCACTGGAGAAGGGGCAAATTGATAAGACAGCTCACCCAGTACTAGCAACTCCACCAACCAACATCACTATCACTAGAGCAGACAAAAGAAATTTCAGAGTTAATAAAAAAAGCAGTATCAATACAAGCAATCTGCACAGCTCAACCAGGACAAAAATTTCCAGCCAATGTATAGGGAAGAAATAGAAAAAGCAATTAAATTGCTGAACACAGGGAAAGTGTTGGGACTTTGATAATACCCCACCAGAACATCTACATCATCTGGGGTGGGAAGAGTGTGGCAGGGCACTGT